TCGCTGACCGTTGTTAACAGCAGAGGAATTTGTACCTGGTCGGAAGCGTGGACCGTTTCCTACCTGACGGTTAGAACGAGATTGTAGGATCGCTTTGCGAGTCTTACATTCCCAAAAATTGGATTTGTGGTTTTCACCGCAATTTGAACATTTAAATTTCTTAGGATCTTCCTTCACAGGACAGTCGTCCTTTGCGTGAGAGGAATCACCACAATTCATGCATTTAGCTGGCATGTAGCAATTTTTAGTTCCGTGACCCCATCCCTGGCACTTACGGCACTGGGTGAGGTTTTGGAAATTTCCTCCAGTCTTCCTGAAGTGTTCCCACTTCACTCGGACATGGAGCATAAGGCTAGCTTTTTCCAAGGCCTTAAGGTTGTTTAGTTCACTAGACTTGAAGTGAACTAAATAAAAATCATTAGAAATCCCGTTGCGCGAATCGCCAGGACGGGATTTCATTTTCATTTTGATTACTTGGAGTAGCACAACTCCAAGTAATTTTGCCAGTTCATCTTTGATCTGATCCAAGGATTCACCACTGGGCAGTCCTTTCATGACAACCTTGAACACACGTTCAGTTTTGGTGTCGTAAGTAAAAAATTTGTGCTTCTTCTCAGTAAGATACTTGAGAAGACATTTAAATCCGTCCAAGGTTTCAGCCAATACACGGCATTCACCCCGACGTCCAATTTGTAGTGAAAACTTAACTTTCACGAAATTCAAAAGTTCCATGCGAAGAGCATGGAAATCGGTAGGGTTATCACAATAGGGGGAATCTTTTCCTTCTTGGCATTAAGCCGGGAAAGTTTACTAGAATTTTTCTTGGATGATGGATCATTCTCATCATCCGTGAGCAAATCAAATTGATTACTCAAATTAATTTCTTCAGAAGGGGGGTCAAGAGTTTTCTCCTTTCTTTTGCGTTTAGGCGCCATGGCGGCAGTAAATTTTTTATCCAAAACGACTTCCAAGCAGATTACTATAAGAATCTGAAGGATCGAAGAGGAATTTTCCAAATCGATATCCAAGAAGGATTACCTCGGGTAGGGTCCAAACAAGGATCGAAGAGGAATAAGAGTTGAACAAGGTAGAAATTTTTTTACAGGTTGAGCACTGAAAAGTGCTGTTTAAATTTGTTGTAGCTTTAGGTAGTAGTAACACTTCCTTCAGCAAAAAGCAAATAGATCCGCACGGCAAGAGAGCACGATGCGTGGATCTTTATTGATTTCCTGAGGTGGAACCTCCTCCATATGATTCAGCTCTAGATATTCACGCATGAAAGCTTCGTATTCTCGCTTGAATTCCGGTTGTTTTTCGAATCGCTTTTGTATCGACTTAAGCCGCTTCAGTGCAGCTGTCATCGATTCTCCCAGGAGTGGCTTCGATATGTCGAACGGCAAACGAACAATGAAGCGCCCATTCTCATCACGCGACAAGGTCGATTTGAAAAATTCAACCACCTTGATTTCAGAACGAGTCAACTGTGGTTTGTTACGCAGCTCCTCTCGCTCCCAGAACTGAACCCGAAAACCATGCGTTGGGCCACCGTTAGGCCGCATTCGTCCTTGACTTGACCTCCCTCGAGAAGCGCAAGAAACACGTCGGATCCCAAAATTACGTCAATGGAAGCCGGTCTGTTGAACAACGGGTCCGCCAGCTCATTGATATTCTCTAGCAGCTTCATGTTGCTTAGCTTAAAACGTTGCGAAGGAATAGTAGACGTCAACTTACCGAGAACGTAAGCATTGGTTGTAATGATGATACATTCGCTGAATCTGGAAGCTAGTCGTAGTGAAACTACACCACGAGTGAACCCTACATCCTGCTGACCAAGCCCACTGACTACCAGCTCACCGCTACGCCTCGGCAGTTCCAATTTCCTAACGCAATCCTCTGACACTAATGTAGCTTGCGATCCGGAATCGATCAACACTCGCACACGCAAGAAGCTTCCGTCCGCCTTCGGTGCATTCACAACTGCCGTTGGCAGCAGAGGAATGGTGCGGTGCTCCTCTACGGGCAATTCCGCCATCAGAACCGCAACATTTTTATCTTCACTCTCCGTCACGATCTTTTCCGGAACATCATTTTCATTCGGCTTTTCTTCGGCACGTTCAAATTTCTTCGCAACGGGACACAGCAGACACAGCAGCGTATGATGCCGTTGTTTGCATTCCGGAGTATGGCATACTGACTTAGAAGAACACGACTTGGCAGTATGGAACGGCCTCAAGCAGTTAAAACACAGTCTAGCCTTTTGAGCCAAGCTTCGGCGATCTTCTACACTCATTTGCTTAAAATCTTCACAGAAAAACGTATTATGCTCTTTTGAACATGTCGCGCACTTTTGGTTCGATGCTACTGCATGTAGCGATTTCATTTTCTTTTCGAAATTCACTGATTTGGCTTCATCTTTTTTAAAAACTTCCTTCCTTGAAAACGCCGAACACGTCCTCAACGCTTCACACCGCTGCTTTAGGAACGACAACAAATCCTCGAATGTCGGATTATCGTTCTCGATGACCTTCTGCGACCAGCTTGTTTGCGTCTCCTTGTCCAATTTCTTCAGCATCAGATGGATCAACCAAGGATCCCGACTTCGAAACTCTTCTCCAAGAGCGTCTAGTTGCTGTACTACCTCATCGGAGGTCGAAACCAACTTGATCAGTGCCTGAGGGCTGGCATTTGTGATTTCCGGTTGATCCATGAACTCGCGAACCAAAGAAAACACCGTATACCGCTTCTTGTCGTAGTGGGACATAAAGCATCCCAAGCCTTTTCGTAGTTCGCATTGGAAATCGTGAATTTGTTCACCAGTCGTTTGGCATCTCCATCCAAATACGAAAAAAGGTATTTAGCGATTCCGAAATGTCCTGTCTGTTGTGAATGGTAGACTGATAAAGGTCCTTGCACGTAAACCATCCCTTACGATCACCACTGAACGTTGAAATATTGATCGCTGGGAGACGAACACTCAACTGGGGTGCAGCATTCGACACCTGATCACCTTCCGGGAAAACTTTGGCACTATTCAACACCTGAGCCAACACTGCTTTCACCGTTACTTGTTGTTGTAGCAATAATTGTCGCTGTGTTTCCATCAACAGCTGCATCGCATCCTTCCAATCCTTGGATTCTGCATTCGTTTGCTGGCTAACGGTCGACTCGACATCATCCAGAAAAGTCTCGAACATATTCTTCGCTCGGTAGTAGACACCGAAAAAATCCTCACGCACATCAAATACGGATGCAATTGCTGTCGGATCCTTTTGATTCTCCTCAATTTCCCCTTGTGTAGCTCGGAAGTTCTCAGCAAGAACTTTGAGTTGATCCAGCCGTTCTCTAACCTCACTTTGCGAGTTGGCATCGCTGAAGTTTTTCGCGACCGAAAACTCTCCTTTCACTTGGGCTTTCACTAGCGCATTGCGGCGAGAAAACAGCTTCTCCAGGATCGCCATGATCCGGCTCGAAGGACCAAATGCTTCAATATGGACTGCATGGAGGGCCCTTCACTTTGACTGGAATTTCGAGCACAAAAGGAACCAAAACTCGCGACCGATCACTTCAACGAAAACGTGTTCTTTATTGCATAAAAAGTTACAAAGGTTCTGTATTATCTTTTTTTTGTTCTGGTTATCTACCACATTATTCGATTGGTTTCGAACTGGCTCACTTGTTTTTGTTGTTGTCATTAATTCACAGAAAAAAAGTTCGGTTGTATGAAGAGGCTCACAGATAGTTTATCTGAAGTCAATGGCCACCACCTTGGATTCAAAAATGACGTCAGACCTCGATTTTTGGGATGTACGCGTAGTACTTGTTCCGAAAATACCAAAATTTGATAGTTTTTCAGAATCTGGGAGCCACGATGTTGGATTACAATTGATATGGATTTTCGGTCTCTAGGCGTCATCCCGATTCCGAAAATATAAATATTGAAGTGTATTTGGCAGTATTTCCCATTTTTTTTCTGAAATTGGAAGCCGCCATCTTGAAATACCGATTCCGGAAATACCAATATTGAAGGGAATTAACATGATTTCTGACCTCCGTATTAGAATGGATGGTTTCTTTCCGTGATGCTCCTTTTTAAATGACCTATAGTACTATATGAGTGACATATGACTAGAATAGATAATCGCGACTGGATGGATTCTTGATTTTTTCGTGGTGATCTTGTCGTGCGACAAGAAATTGTTGTTTGACGAGAATCTTCCAGGATGACCATTTTTTGATGTATCTTGTCGTGCGTCAATGACAAAAGCGACAATTCCCATATCTGAACTCCACCCAAGACAGCAACTTTCTAGATGGCAAGGATTTCAAGATATCACATAAACAAGGATATCACAAATGCAAGCATACTAGTGCCGCGTAGTGAGAAAATTTCAAACTTCTGTATACCAATCGTTAGGTCTTGATCTACTGAACAATTTCGCCCAAGCCAGTAACTTTATATATGTCAAGGATCGCGAGATATTCCATGTTGTTCCCTATTAGGTCAAATCCCATATGCTACGTGTACTCCATTTACGCGATTCCCTCGAATCATTCGAGAACAACGTAAATGGAATTCATGTAGACCGAGTTCGCGTTCTTCGGGGGAAGCGTGTAATATCATTCACTGTTTATGCGCTTTGTTGACATCTGAACGATGACGGATAAAACGGATAAAACAGTCACCCGCGAGTCCATTGGCGGCGGAGTAGGTAGGGGTACTCCTCTTTTCAGTTGTCCCAAACAATCTGAAAGTCTTCGAGATTAATTTAAAATGTTTCCTGAACTCACACCAGAGGTCATCTGAACTTGTCCTGATCGTTTGAGCTTACTATGGATGTCCGTCAAACGCTATTTTAAGTTTCTATATAAATTATCTTTTGAAATCATTTGAACCTGGATGTCTTCAGGGCATGCTTTGGTAATATTATAGCTTTGATCTGAAACCAAACAATCTCTTTCAAACCACCAAACAGAATCACTCATCCTCTCCTACTTTTCAGGCCGTCTACATGACAACCACCGTTCCGCAAAACTTTTCCAAAAACGCCAGCAACCTGATAGGCCGCCACAAACCCACCCGGAGCAGCCTCAGGCACAGCCGGATGCTGGTGGTGAACAAGAACCTTCCCCAACGTTACCCCAAGGGCAACTCCCTCAATCTGAGGCACATCCGCCTCAGCAGGATACTGATGATCCTGAAAATCATAGTCGGTACGATACTTACCTTCGTCGGGATGACCATCATCGTGTGGTCGCCCAACACTCACACCAAGGACAATCCCTACTGGGCGGGGATGATTGTAAGTATGCTGCGCTGCGTCCAACGAAAGTTTCTGATGCTTCCGTTCCTCTTTCAGCTAACTGTGAGCGGTTCCTTGTTCCTGATACTGTTCGATTTCAAGCGACGACCTTCGAATCGGTTGCGGGAGAATTTCTTCAACTTCATCCGGGTGAACGCGTTGGTGATACTGCTGTTGACGATCTTCTTCACCATGTTGGCGTTCATCTATGCGCTGATTCACACGACCAATCTGAGTTCGGAGCATTTGCGGTGCGCCCCGGAGTACCGGTTCAATGTGAATTCGTCGAGTTGTGTGTGCTTGATCGATACCAGAGGAGGCTCGTCGATGGCGAGGTCCGGTGGGGACGAAGCGGCTGCCAGTGAGCTGAGGACCGGGGAAGAGATGGATGATGAGGACGTGGATGGACCGAGGAGGAATGAAACGGTCACCAGCACAGTTGGCAGTGTGGTGCTGAGTGGGTTCGATCTGAGGAGGGCTGGTGAGCTACTGGAAGAGGAAGGCGTTATTTGGTTGGAATATCGGTGAGTTGGAAAGTGCTTTCATTCTTTGACTTTTTAAATTCTTAAACCCCACTCCCAACAGCGACTTCAACTGCAGTGAAGTGCTCAGCGTTTGGTACTATATCGCTCTGTCGTTTGCGATCCTGAGCAGCTTGGGCTGCCTGTTGGCTACCAGTTTCCTGGTAATCTACGGAATCGAATGCCAACGGCGGCACGAGCAAGAGCAGAAATATTTCACCGTCCGAACTAACGGTGATCCACCGTCATCGTCGTCCTCATCGAAGGCGACCGATCAGAGGAAAAGCGAGGAACCGGGAGCAGTTCAGGACTCTGGTGGCGGTGACGGAACGGTGCTGACCAATGGAGACAAGAATGTTACCGAAAGCGTAGGCTTTAAGACTACCGAAGCATGATGGCCGACGGTTATTAGAAGGTATTTGTATTAAAGTATTATCGGGAGGAAAATGAATTCGTTTTTTTACGAAAAAAGTTTACACCAAAGAAGTTTGAAAAATTCGACCCTTTGAAGAAGGTCCCTACACTGAAACATTTATTCATCTTTAAATTGAATAACTAATGGTCAAAACCTAGAGAATACTCTTTTGTAAATATTGGCTAACTATCGGCTAGAAGAACAAATCGCTGCTCGGCAGGATGTCATCCTTGTGCAGGCTGTACAGAATGCTGGAATACCACAGAACTTGTTCATTGAAATCGATCCCACCGAACAGGTGGCCGATAAACGGGGCATCACGTGTCCTACAAACGTAAACAAAAATCAATCACACTTATAAGATTAAGTTCAATTTGCCTGCCTACCGCTTCTTGAAGTCATGCTCCACCAGCGTTATCGCCCACCGTAGACTCGACTGATCCCGTTTCGCCTCCCGTCCTATGTAGGCATCAACCTTACTCAGGTCTATCTTCATCAGCTCCTCGTACAGGCCTTTATCCTTTTTGTCAACCCTTTTCAAAACTACAATCTCCTTCCCGATCAGCTGAAGTTTGTAACAGCGCAACGACTTCGTCTTCCTATCGGCAAACTTCAGTTCCGTGGTTGGCGTCAAAAGTGGAGCCTTCTGAATGTGCCGGTAAACGTCGTTCAGCGTCGTAGTCTGCCGTATCGCTAAGTAGTTGTTTTTCCGATCGACGTCGTTCCAGTAGGTCCACCTGAAATGTGCAATTATGTTATCGAAGAGTTCCCCTTAAACAAGGTTTAATAAGCTTACCTCAACACAATCTCCAACGCTTTCTCGCTGTAGTGCACGGGTCGAGTTAACGAACCTTCCCCGATAACCTCGTACATCGTCAGCTTGTACCACTGGAACGGAGTTTTCTCTGCGAGCTCCTTGCAGATGTCGGAAGCCGTCTTGGTCGGTGTAATCGTAACGTTTATCTGCGTCTTCTCGTCAGCCGTCACTCGACTGCTTCCCTCGTCGCACTCGATCGAAATCCAGACCTTCAAATCTCCGGAGTGCTTCACTGAATCGGACAGATTCTCCGCTGCAGCGTGGTACTTTTGCAGGACCTTCAGCATCAGCAGCTCCTTCTTGACCTCTTCCGGTGTGATCGTAAACATGTTCTTGTACAGTTTAATCAGATCCACAACAACGTCCGACTCTTCCTGGCTATAGGTATACTGTTCGGCTTCCATGTTCTGGCTAGAGTTTGCCATGAGCGTCGATCCCCAGATCATAGCCAAATTTGGGACGCCCATTTTGTTGTGCTGCTCCAACGAAGCGATGAAGCTTAGATGTCCGATTAGCTTCTTCAAGGTTTGATATTCGATTTTCGGAAGACGCAAGAGAAGTTCCTTGTAGGAATCGATCTTGTCCTTGGCAGACTTTAGACTGGTAATACTGACGAAACTGATCGCGTAGCTTCCAAAGAACGAGTTCGGGATTTCCCGGATGAACTTCTTCAATGCTCCGGCGACGTCATATTCGTTGAACTCACCACGGGTGAGCTGAACCGCGAAGGCGTCCTCCTTGAAGAGCTGTAAGATCTTGTTGACCTGACTAGAGGAACCGGACTTGCGGTAGATACCCTCGGACATCGACCCATGAGCATAGATGAAGTTGATGCACTTGTCGATCATCACGGGGACGTCGTGTTTGGTCAACTGCTGGCTATGGATACTGGTTCCGTTTTTGTGAGCCGTATCCTTGATGATTTTCTTCCAAATTTGGCTTTCTCGTGGGGAAGCCATGATGAAATACAACGTAGCATACGGAGGACAGTCGATGAACAACGAAGGCCCTGCTTCGGTGTGTAGATTCCGGATCGATTCGTCTGATTCTATCCCTCCGATGCACCGAGCCTTCCTCAGATCCAGTTGCTCGAGTTGCCGATCCTGGTAATTGTAAAAATACAACCGACGCTTGGCCAGCAACAGCCACGCTCCACTCCAGCTAGACGAAACCGATTTCCTCATATAACACCAACCAGCTCGCGTAAACTCCGCTAGGCACGTATCCGGAAACACTTCCGTCACAGACTGCAAGATCTTCGCCATCCAGAGGTTCCTATCCGATCGCTTATGGACCCCAAATATGTACGACTGCCGCAAAGTTTTCACATTCCCACTATTGTTGCTCGTAATCACGAGATTCGGATTCGTTACCAGCTGTTGATTGGCTCCGGAGCTTCCTTCTTTCTTCGGCAGTGCCAGCACGACCTCAAAGCAATGCAAATCCAGTCCACCTTCATTGTTGAACTTGTGCTGCACTACGCACTGCAAGCTCAGTATGAACTTCAGATGCAACGTCTCCTTGGGTTGCGTTTTCTGCGGATCTTGGTACGTCTGGATGATCTTTTCCTTCAATAGGGCCGACCTAGGAGCCAACTCGTTGAATACATCTCCGATCATTCCGGAAGGCAGCTTCAGGACATGTCCATGGTGACTAATGAACCTCTCGGTCAGCAAAGGCTTTGGGATCATCTCCAGAACCGTTCGCGTATCGGTCTTTCCTTTGAAGCTAGATTTACGCTTCAGCGCATTGAACAGCTTGGACGTCACGCTGGGCTTACTACAGGAAGGTCCTGGTAGCGGATCACTATGTACTTCTGCGCCTATGGCTTCCATGTACGACGGAAGATACGTATCGTCCTCGTTGATTCGCGTTAACTCCGTCGGAAGCTCCTTCTGGATCTTCTCCACCGGTTTGCAGTCGGCCTTCTCGTTCAACGGGTTCACCTTTGTAGATTTGTGGAACTTGTCCGGTTCTGGACCGGAGGCATGATCCGCTACGAACCAACTGGTCTGTGGACCTTGGCTACTCGACGGATAGCTCAAATCTGCTTGCTCTTGACTCGAACCCGGCTCATCAACTTTCGCCAGGTACGGTTCAATCTCCATCTCATCAACCAGATTCTCGATACTATCGGACGGTAAATTCAGATTCTGGTGAATGATCATACTCCTTTTGGGACTGCGGGATTTCTTCCTGCGAGGAATCGGAGGGGGTTCCTTGTTCGGTGGACCAGCATCATCCTTTACAGTTGATTCCAATAGTGAATCGGAACGTTTCGGAGGTTTCGGCAGCTGTTTGGGGATATTCTGCAGCACTAGGTTCTCATCCGAATGCTCCAATCTCGCTTGTCGTCCGTAGGTCTCTGCACTGAGAATGTTTTCGATCAACGTTAGTTCGGCGTTTCCTCCGGTCTTCTCAATCATTGCAGCCAGGGATCGTCGATGAGCCAATGGGTCGAACTCGTCAATAATGTCAGAGATGGAGACCTCATCGTAGTCATGCCGGGCAGGTCGAGCATTCAGCAGTTCTGGTTTTAGCAGGGAAGTCTCCATTTCACAAATTTGCCCATAGAGTTGATTTTCATTGGCGTACATTGGTTCCGGAGTGCTCAAACGAGAGCTATCTTCGTCTTCGTCATCTCGTTGCTGGGCATTCCGGGTGCTTATGTCGTAGAAATTCCATGAATCCGAACGCAGATTCAGATTGTTCCGCAGCTCGTCGATGGACGATGAACGACGAGAGAAGACACGATTCACCGAATTGCAGGTAGCCCTCTGGGAATCCGGACCTGAAGAGCTACCGAGTGCGACGTTTTCGTAGGTTTCGGTTTTCTTCCGGATCTTGATGTGCTGCAGCATCTCCGGCAGGGTGTTGTCCTCCTCCGAGGAACTACTTAAAGTCGATTTTGGAATGATATTGAGCTTTCCATAGGGGTTCTCACGCTTTCCGGGAGCTTCTTCGGCATGAAAAACTGGAGCAGGGAACTTCGGATGTGGGATATTCTCCGAACTGCTATCGATATCCACTTCCCGAACGGAATCTATGTAGAACTTACTCTCCTGCAAGTTCGACTCGCTCTTATTCTTCTGACGCAGTGGTACTGGCGAAGGAAATCCTCCATTTCGATCCTTCTTTGGCACAACTTTGCTGTACAAACTTTGACTCAACCCTGAATTCCTGGTGAACACCCCCGTCGGAGGTGGATTCGTTGACGAGGATGAAGCCGACGCCAAGCTCATGCTACTGTTGGACTTGGACTTCATCGAAGTGTCGTACGGTGGAGGCTCTTCAAAGTTTGTCCTTTTGGCACTCTTCGGAATGTCGTACGTGGACGAGGAAGATGACCCTTTGGTCAGATCTTCCTGATTGTTAATCTTATTGTTCAACGGACTGTTGAACTGAATGTTCTTCATGAGATCACTGTTCTCCGCCGGTACGGTCTGTCTCCGTTCCAGGAAATCCGGTTCATCTGTCGTACTGTTACTCCGTCCGGCTTTGCCGTCTTTACCACGGGCCAACGACATCGATAGCTTGTCCTCCGCTAAGCTGTTGATCGATTTGCTGACGCTCTTGAACTTACTGCTCGCTTCTGTGCCCCAGTTTTTAAAGTTCTTGTCCAACTTGGTGGCAACCTTCTTGGACTTGTGCGTCATTCGTTCGGTGATGGACTCCGTTAAGAGCTTGGATGTCATCCCAATCGATTTGAACAGCTCCCTAAAAGTACGAAATGAAATTAGTTCTTTAGTTCTGTCAAAGTACTTCAAACTCACGTCTTACCCTGGAGAGGTAGTCTTATACTTCCTACCGCTATCACCGCTCCCGATGGACACCCCATCCGATTCGCTGCGATTTTTCAACTCCGGAAGTGAATCACTGTCGAAACTAAACCTTTTGCTACTGGTGGTCCCCGGTGGGGTGGTGGCCGACGAACCATTTCCCCGTAGATCGTTGCGAACTGTAGTGATTCCAGGACATGTGGGTGCTGGCGTAATCGGAGGTTTCTTTATGGCACCTGTCGTTACTGCTGCCGGTGTAACGTTCTGGTATTGACTTGAACTTTCCTGATCTTCGTGAACGACGACCTTGCTGCGCCTCGGAGCCGGAACGGGTCTTGAACTGGCATCCGATTCGGGTTTGTTGTTCTGGACCTTGGGTGCCCTGCTCTTCGGGTGGATGATTTCGAAGTTTTCGTAGTCCTGCTTGCGGTACAGCGATGGGAAGCTGCCCTGTTCGAGCTTTGGGTAGATCGATGGAATGGTTTCACTGCTTGTGCCAATACAGTCCGGTTCATCTTGGCTAGATGTGCTGCTATCGTTCGTGACTTTGTTGTCTTCTGTGGTGGTACTGGCAGCGTTGTTGGGTCGATGGCGAGGGCGGGGGACCGGTACCGGTGTAGCTGATGCTGGGTCTGCCATTGTTGGTCTGGGGGGAGGTGGGAAAGGAAACAGCTTGTTAGTGATGGATTCAGGATAGGAAAATGGTTTGCGATAGATGTCACTCCGAAGAGGTTCATAAAAAAATCAGGGTGTATCATTGAAGTTTAGGTTAATTCAAATAAGTGAGAGGTATTTCATAAAATACAGGGGAACATAATCGTTGTTCTATGAATTTCATAGTATATTCACTGAAAAACAGCTATAACACATTGAATATTTCTCACTGCAAAATATCGTCGCAAAAACACTACTGCCATCTATTGAGTACACTGTGATCGGCAGTGTGCTCAATAGATGGCGATAGTGTAAAAAACGTCAAACGCAAGAGAACTGACTATGCGTCCCACAGGTGGCGGTACTATTGGCGTAACAGGCAGTGGGAATGTTCAGATACTGTGAATAAACTGAATTATGAACACAAAAGAAACAGCGTTTTTATTAGACTTGGACTAACACAAGATAGGTTTGTTTTTATTATGATCTTCGTAGGAGTTCTGCCAGTATTATTTCACGGTGTACATCATCAGCAGACAGTAGCGTCGTCAACACTCCTCCTTGATGTTCAACGTGACTGCTTATTTTTCTTCTTCTGTGTCATCAGAGTCAGCCCCAACATTTTGACAAACTTCTGTAGCTTATTAACGGCCAAAGGCTTTGTCATGATGTTAGCCAACATGTCTTCCGTTGCACAGTACTTGAGTACTGGTCCTTGGTGTAGTCCTTGGTGTAGTGAAATTTAGTGTGAATGCGTTTAGAGCGGCGATTTTGTCGCTCCAGGCACGTGAAATCCATACAGCTCCGATTGTCCTCCCATATGGTTGTAGGATCCGTCTGCTGTTCGTTCACCTCTGCTAGCAATCTCCGTAGCCAAACCGATTCTTGAACTGCTTCAGCTAAGGCGACGTATTCGGCCCCATAGTCGAAATCGAGACACAAGACTGCTTGAGGCTCGCCCAGCTGATTACGCCATTTCCAAGCTTGAAAACGAATCCGCTGTTTGACTTACGGTCGCTTGTATCACTCGCCCAATCAGCGTCGCTGCATCCTTCCAATACCAGTCCGTTGGTCGACCCCAGCATAAGACTGCAATTCGCTGTCCCAGACAAGTAGCGTACAATACGCTTCAATTTCGTCCAGTCAACCTTCGTCGGATTCTTTATTTTTCTACTCAGGATGGATACACTTGCTGTTATGTCCGGCCTTGTATTTGTCGAAATGTACAGAAGAGCACCAACTCCTCATTGTCCAGCAAAACCTCGGAATCTGCCGTATTCTTGTAGTATCCGGGGTCCAAAGGTATCTTTGATTTCTTCGCTTCGCAGGGATTGCTCAATTTTCCGGATGAACAGTTCTTGATTAATCAGGAACACCCCATCTTCACGCCAAACCACGTTGATTCCGAGGAAGCTACTAATGATTTTCAATTCTCCTCGCAAAATCTGCTCAACCTTCCTTATCTCCGGCTCCGAACAACTCACAACGACCATGTCGTCTACATAAATCAGCAGGTAGATCCACTGACCAGTTGAAAACTCCTTCATAAACAGGCACACATCGGCTTTGGACTGCTTTAAACCAGCGTTGAGTAGTATTTACTTGATCGTATAGTTCCAAATTCTCGCAGCCTGCTTCAACCCGAAGAGACTACGGTTCAGCATACATATCAGCTCCTCCTTTCCACGTTCGAAACCTTGCGGCTGTCTCATGTATATATCCTCATCTAGTCGGCCGAAGAGGTAGGCAGTTTTAACGTCTATGTGTTGTACGAGCATCCGCTTGTGGCTTGCTACCGTACACCCGGACTTAGTCTGCATCGCAACAGGAGAAAACATCTCACCATAATCGAATTGCACGTGTAAACCATGCCATTCAACTGACTTGATCAACTCACTTGAATTGAAAAAAGTTGAACCAGGCTCAAGTTTTCAAGCCAATTATATTCAACTGAGTTGATCATTTGACTTGCCTAGTCTAAACCCAGCTTAAGAGCTCTTGACTCCTCCTCCATGGCCGCCTGCCATTGATCCTTCTTTTCACACGCCAATGCTTCATGATACGTTGCTGGTTCATTCGAATACGCAATTAGTCCGACTGCATAATCATGATATCGCAAAGGTATGGCACCTTCATTGATTCTCGACGACCTACGCGGTCCGTTAGCTTCTTGATTCTCCTCGAAGTCAAATCCGTAGAACTCCTCTTCGTTATCGTCGTTGCTTTGAACTTCTTCAGGTTCCATTTTCTTTCCGAATTCGAATTCCATCAAACTGTCCGTTGAAACTTCGCCAACTTCCTCAACGACTTGCTACGCTTCATAATTGCTACTCAGTTCTAGAAACTCGGCGTCACGGCTAACAGTGATCTTATTTGTGATCGTATCCAAAAAACGATACGCTTTACTCTCGCTGCAATACCCAACGAATAACAGCTTTCTCGATTTGTCCGTCATCTTTCCCCGTTTGAACCTGTACATACGCCTCGCAGCCAAAGATCTTCAAATGCTTCATGTTCGGCTTACGTTTGAACCATTGGGGTGCAGTCGACTGAACGAGAAGGCAAGCGATTCTGCAAAACCACTGCAGTGATAATAGCTTCCCCCCAATACTGCTTCGGGAGCTTGGCATCGAGCAACATACAGAGCGCCATTTCCTGGAGATAACGGTTTCGTCGCTCAGCTACTCCGTTCTGTTGGGGTGAGTACGGAGCAGTATACTCCGAACAAATCCCCTCTGACTTGAGAAAATTTACCAACTCCATATTTTCATATTCGCCTCCATTATCGGAGCGAATTACCCGAGGTTTCTTCCCGAGCTGCGTCTCCATAATTCGCACATATTCCCTGATTTTAGGTCCAGCTTCAGACTTTTTCTCCAGAAGGAAAACCATCGTATACCGACTATAATCGTCTATTACAGTCGTAAAATAGCAGTGCGATTCCAGTTTTCGATCTGAGGCTGATTTTTCCCCGAAAGATTGTAAAGTTCCACACGGTATCAGGTATGGTTGTAAATTATAAATCCGGTGCAGTGTAATTGCCGTCGTTCCGACAATTGTAGCTTCTGCTGAAAACAGTTAGATTATATTAAGATCCCAAGGGTAACCCCAGCGGAAGTTGTAATAGGGGACAGTTTTATATTTTCACTTAAATTAACAGATTTATAGCTGCAGGATTAAGTCTTTCGGTAACATATTGGGGTTACAATAAAAAAAAAACCAAAATCGATCGCGTTACGAAAAGTGGTCAGTTTTTGACCACTTATAACTTTGTCAATAGCGGATGAATTTTAACTCTCAGCAAATCAATCGACTGGAAATTTGTCTACAAACCTGCTCACATGAATACTTTACAAATTTTCAATAGGTCACTATTGAAAATTACACAAATGTCCATCTATTGCAATGGTGATCAAAATTATCACCCATTGTCTACAAAAAGCACTTTCCCTAACACAGATTTCAATATCGAATGTCATCCGGTCTCAATCATCGTGTGTGGTGGCGTCTGGTCGGTCGTCATCAGCAGCAGCTGCAGCAGTATTTTCGTCGTGTGGCGTTGAACATTGTTCTCCAGTACACAACGAAAGGCTGCCCGCAAGCAGCGAGCTGCAGCCCACATAAGCGTCCATTCACCGAAAAGGAGCAAGAAGCCGCAACGCTACTTAACGCTAGTTGCTCGTCATGAGCCACTGTGGGCCATCTATGCCAAGCGCGTCACCCTCATTCCGAACAACATACAGCTCACCAGCCTCATCCGTGTTGAACACCCTAATAGCTCAGCATTACTCAACCATCCTGACAAACGGACCACCATAAATTTGTTAAAGAATATTTTATGGACATTTGTCAAGGTCATCAATCGGATGTCAGTTCCTAGGAGCTGTTCATTAACTACGTAAACAGTTTTTTTGTGATTCTTGACCCCCTCTCTCGTCCTGTGTAGACAATTGTTCATACAAATTTTTTAAAATGTGTATGGGCCGTGGATAATTGACAACCTCCCTCCCCCCCTAAACAGCATACGTATTTTATGAACAGCCCCCTACAAGTTTAAATCTAACAAAGCATGTATTTTTAAGGCAACATTGCGGGTGCAATTTCAAAAACCAAAGTCGGCATGAAAGTGGTCTGATTTTGATCCAGAGATGATGGATTTTAATTCTTAATACGCCAATCGATAGGAAATTTTTCTACAAATCTGTTAAAATTAAGACTTTTTCGTTTTTTAAAATGTCACAATTGAAAATTGTACGAATGTTCAGCTGTTGCTATGATAATTAACCGATTGCCTGCGAAAACACAGATTTCAAAACTGAATTCCATCCCGTCTCCCCGAACGGTGTTTATTCAATCACCGCGTGTGGTGAGTGGGGGTGTTTCCCAGTACACAACGAAAGGCTCCCCGCAAGCAGCTAGCTATCAAAGCTGCCCTCAACCGCTGATCGGATTCAGTTGCTCGTCCTGAGCCGCTGTGGGCCATCTATGCCAAGCGCGTCTCCCTCGTTCCAAACAATATACAGCTCACCAGCCTCATCCGTGTTGAACACCCTAATAGCAAAGAAGAAAATCAACCATCACGACAAAACGGTTCTTTTCAGGACCAGCTTAAATTAATGTTGTTTAAGAGTTAACCTTCATTGAACGTTCACTCGCCTTGCTGCCAGCCACATCATAATGTACCCAGCAACCAAACGTTTGTGGTCAAATGCGTAGCAGTATTGAAGTGTTACATGTCAATTAACCAGAAACACTTAGTATTAAGGTAAGGTTTTCTCCTGGACTCTAGAAAAAGCAAAAAAATCTCGAATTTACATGATTGATTGCGAATGTCTCGCTAATCGAAAATTTTAGAAAGAAATTCCTCCAATCAATTTTTGATTTTTTAATATCTATTGAATTAACAAAAAATTCCGTGTGCCTTGTGCACGAAAATGCGTAATTTTGTCATCAGAAACGAATATTGATACCAAGCACTGAGCATGCGGTAGA